AAACCTTGCCTAAGGGTTTATTGGGCATAGGAAAATGAAAGGGGAGGAACAGGTGGAAAAAGAAAGTTGTTTTTGTCTAATCAAATTATAACGTAGAGCCAAACATTTTAATTTGACCAATGAAGTGATATCTCATCTGCTTCTCTGACCTTAAATTAAAAAAACCACATAGACATAGGATATTGTAGCCACATATATATATATATGAATCGGGTTTTTAGATTTAATGGTTTGACTCAATTCTTAAGTGCTTGAATGAGGTGGTTGGAGGTTCGAACTCCACCAAAAAGTAGTTTGATGGTCGCGCGCCTTATTTGAGGGAGTGAAATGTTTATTCGGTCTGAGAACCAGTTACTAACAACTAACTCATACTAACTTCCTAACCATTACCCTTGTCAAAAAATATATATATATTTTGAACAAAATTATATTTTTTTGGGGGAAAGAAGAATAGGGATAAGGAAAAGGAAAAGGAAATGCATAAGGTTTGAAATTACTATTTACAGAGATAATCTCATTAACTTAGGATATTATTCAGTCATAACATGAGGATCAACATATAAATATTATTTTTTATTATTTTTTTATATTAAAAATAAAATTTAAATCTCACACAAACTTTAATATAAAAAGTTTTTAACAAAAATAAACTATTAAGCTACTAAATTATCCTGGAGATATAGATATTACTTTAGTAGTCAAAGTAGTCTAATTTTAATTTAGAGTGAAAGTAGCAAGCAACAAGACAAGACATCACCCAACAAACATGGATTCTTGTGTTTATTTGACACCGAACCTAGCCGGTAATGTGAAAATCCATGGCGCGTAGCCTCTTTAAGGGCTGGTCGGCATGATGAGTAGGAATTTTTTTGGTTTTTTGGTTTTTTTTTTTTTAACAAAATATAATTTTGAGGTGGGGATAGAACCCAATTAGGAGGCTGTAGTTGAGAATAACATTTGGTGATTTTGTCCAATTTTGAGATTTTAAATTAAATTATTAACAAATGTTTGTTTAATATGTTGTAATATTTATATTTTTTAATTAATTCATATAAAAAATTATAAAAATTAACT